TAAAGAATACACACATAAGGCATGTTTGTGCAAAATTTGGTGTCTCTATCTCTTATAGTCTCTGAGATCCAAGTGTTCATACGGGCGGACAGACAGACAGACAGGGCTAGATCGACTCGTCTCGTCATGCTGATCAAGAATATATGTACTTTGTGGGGTCTGCCACGCCTCCTTCTGCCTGTTACATTTTTCAGCTCCCGCAAACCTAATATACTTCTGTACATTTCATGTACAGAGTATAAAGATTTGTTCCTTCCAAAACAGCCGCCCGATTTCTGAATCATTTTTCCGGATCAAATTTTCCACTGGCTTATAAACGTTTGATCTCCAATTTGCCTGGACTATAAAGTCCTCCTGTATAACTTCGTTATTAACCCTATTTGGATCTATAACTAAGAGTTAACGCAAGCGAGAGATTTCAGTTCGAAGACTATAGAATGTTACACATTTTGGAGACAGTTCTAAAATTTACCTGAAATTAAATAATAAGAAACTTTGGATTTCGAACAAATAAAACAAATGGTTAAAAATCGACAATAAGACCTTTAGAGTCCAATAAGTATTTGCTTATAGAATGTGGGTTAAGAGCGGTTCACCCTAGCAAGAAGCCGAATAGATCGCAATGCAAGCCAGTAGTTTGTCCAAAACTCTTGCTGGCAATGTGACTGTCCCTATTGTGGGGAGGGCTGCTGTAGATGGGTCCTACACAGGCACACGCTGGCTCATCAGACGGAGTTTCCTTGTTTATGTTTCATTAAGTTTTTTGTCAGTGTCAGTCTGTGGTGGTTGTTGCTGTTGTAGTTGTTTCTATTATTGTTGCAGCTGTCGTGGCTGCTCCACTGACTGATAAAACAAATGTTGACTTTGGCTTTGTTATTGCTTAAAAGGGCCTGCCCTCTCCTCGACTCATACTCGTACAAGTATACCACAACTATTGTTGTGTTTTTACAGTTACAAATTAACAACAGCAACAAAGAATAATAATAATAATACCATATACTATATGTATGTACGTATTTGTGTAATGCGCCTGACTTTGGCATTTTAGCTTTTTACCACCACAGACAACAAAAATGCACAACTAAATGAAACAAAGTAAAATGCAATTACGCTCATATCTATTGCACTTGCAATTGTTCTCGCTCATGTGTGTGTGTGTTCGAGTAATATTGTGTAATTTTATATTGAGGTCAGTGCTGCTGACAGTAATTTATAAAGTTCTTTTTTTCTCATGTTGCACAAAGAGGTCAAAAGTTTTTGTTGCTTATTTATGCGAATCCGCAACTTTTGCTTGCACTTCTCTCTGGTATTGTGTGCCATAGAATCCACATTTAAATGGTTTGATTTTCCGCTATGCTAATTTTTGATAGCTGCCTGGAAGTATGTACTTACATACATATGTATGTATGTGGTTTTAGTATTTTAAGCAAAACTCTGCTTTCTGCACCTCCATCACAGAGCCCTTGGAGAATGCGTCGTCAAATAGTTACAAATAAAATGTGTACATTACAGGAAGATGGATATTTCAATGTCTTCAATAATGTTCAAATTAACTAATGATTGGATTGGGCTTATTAAAATCGGACATGAAGAGCATTCACTTTTTTCATTTTAATAAATACTATTGCAAGGAGCACAGAGCTGCATATTAAAATAAAAATGAAAGGCTAGAGTCAAGTGGACTCATTTATTAAATACCTGGCACCGCTTCACACACAAAAAATATATTTAAAATAATTTATTTGTATTTAAAATAAACGAATCAATACATATGCAATATATAGTATATGTATGTGAAAACATATCTTTATGTACAATTATTTACATCTCGATTGTTTGTTAATTATTGTATATAGATATACTTTATACTGCATAAGGCTGAGCAAGAGCAGCAACAACAACACCAGCTGCTAGCAGAGCATGAACAGAAATGTCGGCTATATCTCTTCTTAAAACATAGCACGATGATTCATAACAGGATTACTCAGGGGCCATTTTCCAAACTGGTCTCCAACACCCGGCATCACAAAGGATAAACATGAGTCTTTGTGGTGCTGCCAATAGCAGTCTCCCGGATTAACCTAACCTAGCCTATCCCGATGAGACTTGATATGATGACAGATAAGTACAAACCGACCAAACATGATCGACTAATTGCAATAATTACAATAGCTATGAGAAAGGCGGGTGCATTAACAAAAAAATAAAGCTGACCTCTCTCGGACTTAGGTTGCCCAGTCATGGCTATATTGACTGGTCATATCATAATGGGGGAGCAAACGTTTTGGGCAAAGACGTTGTAAAGGTAATACCAGAGAAACATAAATCCATTACATTTAATAAAACAGCTCTCCGATTATTTTAATTTTAAATTTGATACTGATTTTGAAATAAATTTTAATTGGGAATTGGGTTTTACCCAGAAAAACTGATTGAGACTTTACATTGGATATTTTAAACCAATTTAAATTGGCTTTAGGAAATTAGGTTCTCTTGAATATGAAAAAAAAATAAACCACTGAAATTTCAGAACACTTAAGTATTTAAGTTTACAAGTTTTGCGTTTCAAAATTTTATGAGATTTCTAAAATATTGCAACTATTTTTTCTACTTCATTTTATTTCTAATTAAATTTCTACTTATTGTTGGACCTCTTTTTAAATAGGCTGCTTGTGGTTTCAACAACTCTGAAAAGCGTTTTGAAGTATATACATTAATAATACATTTTCAATTTGAAATTGAATAACGTCAGCGAGCTTGCCGCACTCGCTACTGGGACTCGTTAAATCTCTGCCCATCTGTGCTCTCTCCTGCTGACTGCGCAGACTCAACTCAACTTACTTCCTCGTTGCTCATTCAGCCACTTCAACTCAAACTCAAACAAAAACAGGTGCTGTCCTGCAGTTGCCCAACAGGACCCGGCAGGATGTTAGGTTTGCACACTTGGAACATGCAAAGTACTGCTGTCCCTGGTAGCTGCCCACCTTGGAGTGCAGTTTAATTAAGAAGCATAAACAAAAGACCCGGTCCAGAAGGACCCCCCACATACTCATCAACTTCAAGCTCTTCTGTGTGGCTTTATTTTAATGTCGAGCATAAAACATTATCATAAATTGACAACGTAAACATTTTTAAGAAACATGCAAATAAATAAGGCGCAAGGGCTTAAAGAAAAGAAAAGCAAAAATAAAAAATATATAAATGAATGAATAAAGCACTTTTATATATTTCGTATATCGGTGTATTAATAATAAAGCGCTGGGGCGTATAAAAGGGATTGCCGGCTGGGCACTTAAAATATATTTGTTTTTTATGATCAAAAGGATTTATTTGGCAGGAGCGCGTGAAGAATTTTTACTGTATTTAAGCGCACAATGAAATATGCATGAGTGTCTGGCTGCCCAGCACATTTGTGTGTGAGCGATAAAAACCGGATGTTGGACAACAAAACGACAGGATATCATTCAATTGAATACATTATGTGGCACACAAAAGTATTCTGCATATGCGTGTCAGGACTGCCACCAAACAGTGCCGGAAAATATCATTTTGTGCATTTCAGCAACCTGCCCAAGGCCAAAAGTCGTCGAACTGTACAAGTAAAAGCGGCTCTAGCCCCGAATATTGAATACTGAATAGTAGCGCCCCGATTTCGTCTCTCTTAGTCCCATTTTTAAATTATTTGCATACGGTTCGTGGGATATTTCAAAAGTTTTCATTCATACATACTCTACTACTATTTGTGTGCGCAAAATATTTGCACTGGCTGATCTATATACATCATATACTTGTACATTTATATACATTTATATTGTTGCTGCAACTTTATTAATAAATATGGCGGTTGTTGCTAAAGTTGGGGCTGTTGTTCCAGCCACTACGTGCCACGGCATAATTATTATGCGGTCACGTACAGTAAATGCAAAGATGGGCCCAAAGGCCGTGCGAAAATGGCCAATACACAATGCACTGAGATAATAATTACAATAAAAAAAAAAACAATGGTCGTGGCATAAATACGGCAACAATATTTTAATTAACTTAATTAAGCAACTTTTATTTGCATAGCGCGCTCTGCGACGACAACGACCACGACGACCTACGGGCAGGTGCAGGACACAATGTCGCTCACAACGATATGTGCTTTATACTATATGTATGTATGTATGTATGTATGAGTATGTATAAATATATGTTGTCTGGCCACTCGCATTGACGCTTATAATAAAGCGTAGCAAAAAAAAAAACAGAATGAAGTCAAAGGACATTATTGACGTGCAGCACGCGTCAGGGACATGCTTGTGAAAGCTCATCTACAACAACTCATATCTGCTTGCCTTTAATGTGCACGATAATTATGTATTTTTAATGCATATGATTGCCGAGTCCTGGCAAAATTGCCATTAAATATTAACTGGTGTTTAAATACTCAAGGCAAGCATCGCTTTTATCCACCACCACTTATAGATCTGCTCAAGATATTCCAAATATAAATAAAGCCTGCAACTGCTTCATCTAAGAATTATCTTTTGAAGACTGATGTGAGCTGTAGTCTATATCTTTTAGTGTGTCAACTCCAGAATTTACCCAAAAATTTATAAATAAATACTATATAAGCTCAATTAGGTCTTAGACATCAGAGTGGCCTAATAAGTCGATATGTTGGAAATGCCGTAAAGAGATTACAAGGCAATTTATTTATAAAGTAGAAGAAGTAGAAATAGAGGCAGATTCGTCCATGAAAGGTGGGTTTCACCTCTTCCTTGAATCTCATGATGATACATTGCTTGGCAGAAAAAGAGCTTAAAACATACATATTTTCAAACCATATTTCTGCTTTCTTGTAATTTTTAGCTCTTTTGAAAAATGGAATATTTCTAATAATTTTTTTTTGTGTAGTCGATTAGCGGTCTAATTCGAATTGGGTTCATGGAGAAGAGGTGCGAGATATCATGAATTAATTGAAAGTGCCACTAATTTGAAATAAGTAGATAAAACCATTTTTGTATAAGTTATGCCACTTGATTCAATTTTAATCTAAATATGTGCGTATTATTATTGTTTTAGTTCTGCTATAGTGCGAACAATTTGTTGCGTACGTTTCATTTTTTTGTATGTATATAAGTAAATATATATATGTTTAAAGTCGAGTGTGAGGTTTCATTTTGCTGACCAAAACAGCTGCTATCCTTTGAAATTGTTTGTAGTTTAGTGTATTGAGTGTAGACGCAAGAGAATGATGATGATATCAACGTAATGCCATTTCAAATCAGAGCTTTGCTTGCTCTTGCTCCAGGGGGAATGGGAATTGGTGTTTTAAGTATATATGTGTTGTTTTGTAAAAGGATTGCTGCTGTGTGTATGTTTTGTTGTTAATTTTGTATCCAACTGCAGCTCCGATGCATGGATCTAACCGCTCTTGAACAGCAATATAGCCACCTGTCCCAAATAGAAGTAAATAAAGTGGCGCGTCTCGTGGGTCACATACGATCCGAAATTGCGGCCCACAATGCAATGCCAGGTGGGATTGTACTTTTTATCAAACTCCTTCTTGACATAGGCCGCAATGTCCTTTTCAATATTATACTTCTCCAGCGCCTGGGTGGCACAGTCTACAGCATCTTGCTGCATCTCCTCGCTCATGTCAGCATTCTTGATGACAGCCTTGCGGTCCGACATGTTGAGGCTGTTATTTGGGTTGGTTTTCCAGTAACCCTTTTCGAAGACTTCGCGTTAAGCTAATGCGCGTGTTTTGCCCACTGTAATGCCCGAGGGTATTGTAATTGTTTTAAAACTCTCTTCATCAATATACCATAACCTCACCTATGCGTCGTCGTGCAAACAAATTTCTTGTTCTGCTTGTTGCGGCGCCGGCACCTCGCCGATCTTGAATCTAGATGATTTGGCGCTTTAAAAAGGACTGTGCATTAAGACTTAAGTCTACTTTCTCTTTTGAGCAGATCTTATGGTTTTTTACTTACGTGGATATTGTATAAAATATATATGTTATCTAGATGTTTAGAATTTCAGCAAAATCATTTCACTTTGACATAACTTGCAAAGTGTGACACTTGCTCCATGTGGCATTGGTAGCACTTTCTTAACAGTGCTGCTATTTACGATATGTGCTGCTTGCGTGCTGCCAACTTGTTGCCAAGCAGGTATGTGAACATATGGGATATTCCCACCAAAAGGATATATCAAGTGATATTTGACTATTGGGATATTCCTACCAAAAGGATACATCAAGTGATATTTGACTATTCTCCAATTTTGAATCAAATTAAATTGTAGTTGTTAAATCAGTAAGCTGTGATGCTTATCACCCAAAGGTTCAAATCGTAAAACGTATACATATGTTGGTCCGACATTTGTCACATACATCTGGGCAGCATTAAATGACACTGTTATATACATACATACGTCCACCTTATCTCAATTTCCAACGAAATCTGGGCAGCATTAAATGACACTGTTATATACATACATACATACATACGTCCACCTTATCTCAATTTCCAACGAAATATGGGCAGCATTAAATGACGCTGTGCGTAGAACGGGCCCCCAAGCCAACGCCATTGGATGCAGCATATGATGGTAAAAATATTGTCGATGCTCGATACATCGTTGTTTTTTTTACATCCCTACTGCATTGAACATAATTTCCTTTAAAATTTATGCAAAAAACACTTAGTAGAACTGAAAAATATTCTTAACGAAAAATTGTCCAATTTTGTAATTCATCGTCATCGTATATGGCAATTATCACATGAATAGCATTTATAAATAATTATCGACAACAATCATTTGTGATATTTTAAACATAATTCAATTAACTTGAAATTATATTTGAAATCCTAATCAGTTGTATGAATAGGACTATATCGATGCTATACAGAAAAACGATATCTAGCAGTTAATTGTAAATTATACAAATATATACATTTAATTAATCTTCAGTATGTTGATGAGTCTTGTCACATGTGATTAATCGTAGCAACATTTTCGAAGGGTACCAGAAATATCAATTTAAAAAGTTGACATTTTAACTAGTTTTTAAGTCAAACATCAAGCTAATTTCGAGTTTTCAAGGACTGTGGCCTGTGAATTCCATTGTTGTATATCTTTGCTTTTGTATTTAATAAAAAACCTTAGCTTTTTAATAAATATGACAAATCAAAATGAAGTTACCTATGTTTCAACATCAATAAAACCCTTTTTAAAAATTCGTTAATAGAAGTTCGATGCATCGATAAATAGATGTTCATCCCCTTAAAACATCGATGTGGGTAAACATCGATGTTTCTCCAGCTCTAACAGCTGTTATAGTCGCAACAACTTGTTTGTCCTGAGTTTGCATTTCTAAGGACAAATATTTAGACTGAACAAAAATGCATTTTAATTTATTCTTTCAAAGCTTTCAAAAAATTAAAAAAACCAAAAAAATAAAACAGGGGAATCCGCCCAAAAAAAAAGGCAAACCTGTTATTTCGGTAGTAAAAGTGCTGGCGACAGATTTTCATGAAATAAAACAAAAGCTAATTTATTTTAAAGTGCCAGGGGATGCCCGTCTTTGCTGGTCTAAGTAAAATGTGCTTACAATTATAAGTTTATCTACTATATGATATTTCTCTTCCGGTTTCATTTCCCAAATAGCAAGTAATGACGACAATGAGGACTGCCAGTCCTCACTTATGTATCTCGAATTCACCAAAACCCCTTCTTAGTGATCGCTTTCACTATGAAAGGAAACTTGTGTCCAAATTGCAGCTTCCTAAATGTTACCGTTTGGTCTGTGCGTTGATCGACAATCAATCAGTCAGTCAGTCAGTCTGGACAAACAGTTTTATATATGTATATAGATTGTTGTATTATTGTCAAGCTAATAACATTTCGACGAGCAAGAAAATGTATAAAAACGCAAGAATTTGTTTAATTAAATTAGATTGAATCTGCAAATTCAAGTGTGTTTATTTACATTTCTCGCATTTCTCTCGTACGCGATAAGCAAGGGTCGTTCTTTTAAAACTGTTGAAAAAATTGTTTCTGTGCTTGGCGAACGTAAATAAAAACAAGTAAAAAAGCTAAAGTCGGGTGTCCCGACTTTGAAATACTCTGTACATATGTTTACAATAATTATAGAAAATAAAAAAATTAAGAAAATAAAAAAAAAATTTGATCGATTTTACCTCTTTTGGTATTCGAACTCACGTAAAGGGTGTATAATTGCACATTTACATAGCAATTGCGTCTGTGTGAGTGTATGTATGCCTATGCGCATCAATTCGTGTCTGTGTAAGCATTTTCGCAGTCAACCAAACAGCAACATCAACAACAGCCGCGGGCAGCGCTTGAGCAGCGCTGCAGCAGCGCTGCATCAGCAAATATATTTATGGCTATAACTTCTTGTTAAATCGGTCTATCATAATGAAATTTGGCATACGGACACATAATAACCAACTGGGGGTATTTCCAAAATTTGAGTTCGAAATTCCAAGAATTACGGGAGTTACGATTTGCGGGGTAGAGGGGGGAGGGAGGGGAATTCCAAAATATACATTTTCTGCGTATTCACATAAGGCATCTGGGACTAAAATTTGGTGTTCCTAGGTCTTATAGTCTCCGAGATATAGGCGATTATACGAATGGAAAATCGGGAAAACCCCCATAGGGGGGAAGTGGGGGGGAAAATCAAAAAAATAAAACAAACTCGTATAGAATACACACATAACGCATCTTTGTGCAAAATTTGGTGTCTCTATCTCTTATAGTCTCTGAGATCCAGGTGTTCATACGGACGGACAGACGGACAGACGGACAGACGGACAGACGGACAGACGGACAGACAGACAGACAGGGCTAGATCGACTCGTCTCGTCATGCTGATCAAGAATATATATACTTTGTGGGGTCTGCCACGCCTCCTTCTGCCTGTTACATTTTTCAGCTCCCGCAAACCTAATATACTCTTGTACATTTCATGTACAGAGTATAACAAATTTCGAAAAATTATAGTTTATTACACTTTATTTTTACTCATATATTTAATAATGATGATCTTTCATTCAACCATTGTTTCAGCATTTCAGGGTCTTCAATATCTTGAGGATGAGAAAAATAATTTAAAAAAATTATACTTATAAATAAATTTGTCGTGCATGAACATACTGGAATTATGTGTTCCCAAAAATGCCTTCATCTCGTCAAAATGCGATTTTAAATAGGTGGTCGTATCGCGTGTTACCTCAGCTGATGTAATGCCCAATTTTATTTGATAAGTCTTAACTTCTTGGCTTAGGCCGGAATTCACAAGATTTTGCAGGTCTATTAGTTTTGACTTCGTTCTAATTTTCTCGTCACTTTCCTGGAGCTCGCTCCTCAACTTAATGTTATCCTTTAGTATTGCTTCGAATTTTTGGAAACAGTAGGAGCCGCACTTTGTTTCCATCTCAACAAAGTTGTAGCAGCTCTGCAAAATCAATAAATGATTGAAGCATCTCTCCCCTCATTAATATGGCACTCCTACCTTCTTAGCCTTGCATGTTGTTGTTTCCTCCGCAGAGGTTCCTTGCATGCCTACCAGCAACAATGAAAGCAGAACTAGTAAGAAGGACGACATTTTATGATGAAGACTCCTTTGAGAAAAAGTATCAACTGCTTCGCCGACTGAAGCAACACTGAACACAGTTCTGTTCATGATTCATGATGTAGGTTTATAAAATTTAAATTGATAATACTCGTATTTACTATGCTTTTATTAGTGTGTATTTAATTACTTGGGAAAGCATTGCTCACTTATGTATGTACATACGTCTAAACAAGGGCGTACGCAGGGTGGGGGGCCAGGGGGGTCGTTGCAAACCCTTAAAAAATGTTTTCGATCAAACATTCATTTTTACGGCGCACTATTTCGATGAAGTTCGATGACCATATGCATAAATTATTATTAAGGCGCATCGTGCATTATTTAATCAAAATTTTAACTTTTTGGCCCCCCGTTTGAAAAAAGCTGTTTACGCCCTTGCGTCTAAATATGTCTATATGTCATAATATACTTTTTGATTAGGATTGTTAAGAGTATAGCTATTATATAGTGTCACACTATTAGTGTGTGTTATTTTTAGTCCGTTAATTTATGCATGTTCGAGTATTCTAGTTGATGCAAAAGTTACACATCTTTGCGCGTTCTCTTCGAATCCCCCTATATTGCAAGTACTGAAAAGGGCGGATCAAAAATAGTAAATGAAAAGTTGCTAGGTCCTGCTATAAAATGCATATTTGACTTTTTATCAACGTTTATAGAACATGATCCTAGTTCCCATATTTGAGATGATATCTTATTTTTTAATTTTAGTGGAAAAGCTAAAGTCGGGTCCAGCGACTTTCGACCATTATGTAGAATAATTATAAAATTTTTTAAATATTAGGTAAATGGAAAATCTTGATCGATCAGACAGTCGAACATGTCTGGATCGATTTGCTCGTCGTGCTGATTTAAAATACAACAACCACCTGTTACATACATTACACTGATATACATTTTTTATCCTTCGGGTATGGGTTACTAATATGTAAATGCAAAAGTGTAAAGTGCTGAAGTGATTAACATAAAACATCTATTTATTTCAATCGTTGTACAAAAAATTAAAATATTAAACAGTTTTTATTGGGATTCCCCATACATTCTAATTAGAGTATCATAATCTGCATCTGCATCTACATCATCATACTCTGAAGGAAATAAAACAATTTAAACAAAAAATTATTATAACCTGCTAATTAATGTTACCTTCTCCGTTATGCAAAGCTTTATCATGCGCTTTTCTGAGTCTAATTAAACTCTCCAATAGGTCTTTGTTCTCGCTGGTAGGATCACCATTTTCATCGGCCTCCTTTGTTGCCAACTCGATTAAGTAAATTTGTGCAGTTACCAGTTGTTCCGATATTTTAGAGTTTAGACGCTTGATTTCTAGTATTTGCTCCTGAATTTTTTGCTCGCCGTTCGTAAGTTCAATCCTTAACTTTTGGTTTTCGCTTTGAATCAATTCTTGGCATGGCGCACAAGATTCCACATTCTCCACTGGCATGGTACAGTTCTGAAAAATACACCAGTAATTCCTACTGCTCCTCGTTATTGTTATTAGAGTTGGCTACTTTACCTTGCCGTTTTCGCAGACAATCGTTGTATTTTGGGCATTTGAATCGTTAACTGGTGTGGTTGCGGCATTGGCCGAGTGCATAACAAGCGACAAAATTGAAACAAAAACTATATACTTGTACTTAGACATTCTGAGACGATGGGAGCATAGATTAGAACGCTTGGATGCCTTAGCTAGTAGAATCAAAACTGAACCAAGCGGGAGAATTGTCACTGCCTTGTTGGGTCGGCATATACTATACATAGCTGATAAGCAGATTGACTAAGGTAAAAAAAAAAAAATTTGGCTTTATAGCTTTTATAGTTGTTCAGATCTTCGCGCTCATTCAGACGGACAGACGGACGGACGTACGGACGTGTCTGATTAAGAATATATACTTTATGGGGTCGGAGGTGCTTCCTTCTGCATGTTACATACTTTGCACAAACCTAATATGCTCTTTTTAACCTACGGGTACAGGGTAGAACAATAATCTTGTGGCGTACCGTGCTGTTGACCTGAAATGTGATCAAGACCTGTGGACCAATCACTTTAATTAGCTGCTTAGCATGATGGGTTTCTTCGAAATTATACTGTTTGCCAAGCCTTCACATTATTATTCACACAAATCATCTTATTTGATAAAAGCAGGGCCATGATTTATGCATGACAGCCAACATTAAAAGCCGGAAATTTGTCGCCATTCATTTCGGCCAAATAGCATGCGAGCAAATTGCATGACATGGCATGCTAGCAAGCACAGTTGCAACATTGTGGCATGAACAAATTGAATGTCGGAATTTTCACTTAATACGAAATCCGTTAATTTCTTTCGAGCCGATTACGGTCAGACCATGCCAGTATTTATCACATTGCAAACGCAAATGCAAAAGGCAAACAATGTTAAATTCGATTAGACATGCAACTCTACTCATGAACGGGGCGGAAATTGAATTTTAATAATGGTGTTCAGGTCCAGCCCAAGCACAAGCCCAAGCACCAGCAGAGTACTAATCAAGTAATGCAACCAATTTACCATAAACCATGTAAAAAATACTTAGTACTTCCCAGTTCTACACGGCAACGACATTTGCGCTACAACATTGCGAACAAATTTTGCTTGTTTTTTAATGAAACGCTAATTTACGACCGGCACGCAAATGCTGATAGACCGAACATTAGGCTCGGCTCTAGAGATTGCAGAGGAAATCAAACTCAACTCAGTATACAAAAATTGTGGGAATGAAGAACGAGATATACATTGTCATCATATTGTCTGAGGTGGTAAGCGTAGAAAGAAATTTGTTTCCCGTAGCAAGATTGTAGGCTTTCTATTCAAATAAGCTTGTTTAAAAGGAAGGCCTATTTAGTATAAGTTTTAAAGCCAACAAATAACTAAATTAACTTCAATGCAGCGCTTGCACAAGCAACTGAATTCTCCGTTGCTTCCCTTTCTTTTCTCTAACTCAGACTCGCAACGAATTTGTATCAAACATGTAATAAAAGGAAGTGATGCCATACAAGATGTACCTAGTGATGCCTTTAAAGTACCAGTAACGTATACGTATTCTCCACATCCGATAGAACTATGGGCTTGTGTTTTAAATGAGATAAGACTAGTGCTTAGGACACAGACTATTGTTTAGGTTGTAGTCACAAAGTTCTGTTATGTATACAGCGCATAATATACTTTTCAAAGAAATTTTTGTAATCGGAGAGTTCAGACACACGTTAGATGCTATCTGCTTTGTTTCCACTACAAATCAAACTAAGATACATACTCGTATATGATTTATATAAAAAAAGTTTAAAAAAATTGCATAAGATTAAAGCGATAACCCCAAAGCAATGCTGTCACTGCTGACACACTTTATGAGAATTCCACGAGCCATGTGAAAGGAAACCACAGACAAAAGCTTTCGTTGACTTGGCAAATATCAGACACACACAGATAGGGAAGGGGTGGGAGGAAAGAGGCAGTGGTTTCTGCGTGTAAGGCAAATAGCACGAAGTCCGCGGAACAAAGGACAAATGACAAGCAAGCTGGCGTTCTAAGAGAGAAGAGAGCAATAAAAAATGGAATAAAGGCGCATTAGTTGACACTTTTTGTTTGCCATTCGACACGTTGAATGGATGCGGTTGACGATGACAAGCGCTATGTTCAAATGCCAGCCAGTATACAATTTCATATAAGAAATGTGATCTAATATGATGTGGTGGCTATAATATTAAAATGCTTAGCTCTTACACAAAAGACAACTCATTAGAACATGAATAGGCAAACCGTCGAGAAAAACTTCAATCTAAATACATATGTTTATTTGTTTTCGAGCCACAAATGGGACTCTCTTTTGATGATAACGATATAAATAAATATATAATTTATAGCTATTTGAAAGTAAATTCTTAATTCTTAATCTTGAATACAAAAATCGTCGTGCATATTTTGATCTGACGACATGAAAATTGCTTACAATGTTAAGAATATATTATGGACAATGAATGTCCTACTTTTCCAATGTCTGAAAAAAGAAGTTTCTTTAACTCTCTGAAAAACTTTAGGCACTAAGTGTTATTCACTTTTTTAAATAAAATAATATAGATTTTAACTTTTAACTTAAATGCAGTTATAACTATTTGCAGATTCTTTATGCAGCAGAGACAAAGAAAAGATTGTGAAATAAACTAAATTTATAAGCAGACCAACAAAAAGAAGGGGATTAAATGGAATCAAAATTGGTCTCCACAGGCTCCATCGCTCCAGCCAAAAACTTGTATCAGTATGCTTAAGCTTACAGAATTGGCTAATGGTAAGAGAGCAAGCGCCATTTCTGACCGAAGTGAATTAGAAATACTAAATGATACTATGATATAAGAATAAATGGGATATTAGAAAGCAGCTTAATGTGTACAAATAAAAGTTAAACGAGGCATGTTCACAAAAAACTTGCTGTCTCTAAATGCTGAAGACTTTGTATAAAATAGGCATTTTATATATTCTATTTTTTTTATATCAATACTTGTATAACAACCAATATAGAGGACACACAGAGAACGATCGACGTGATAATATTAGAAAAAACATTAATTCTTATCGCTTTTTTACAAGTACTTACCTCTTATACAGAATACAAGTGTAAATATAGACTGACTCCTGAATATTATAAATACTCGCATATTGTGGTTTAATAATTTCAACTCAATCTTATTGCAAAGTTGTTACAGCAACTTTTTCCAACCAACCAAATGAACTTTATGCCCAAAGGGCGTACATTTTTCGGAACCCATGCATACTTGCATAAAAACAATGGCATCGAAGAGCATCACAAGTAAACAACTCTCGAGCCCTTTCTTCAATAAGCAAAGAAGCAGAAATACATATGAATAAAAGCATGTACATACGAGTATGTATAAATAAGTATAGTATATATGAAAATTTATAACATGCTTTTTGTGATTTATTTTAAACAAATTTGTGCGCAAAAAGTTTTGTGCAAACAAAAGGAAAAACAACACATTTTCCTCCTGTCAATGGGAGAGTGTGTGTTATTGTGAGTGTGTGTGAGTGTGTGTGTATGTGTGTGTGTGCGAGAGTTGGGCATACGTACATCTTCAAAAATTCATGAATGCGTTACAAGTTTTGAAGCACAAACGAGGCACAAATAAAAGCAAAAGTTCGCACACGCGCAACATCAATTGAAAATTTGAACAATTCCACTTTGGTTGCCATTTCTTTTTAAATTTGTTATTGTTCTTATTGTTGTTGTTGTGATGCCTTTTATTTTAGTGTGTTGTTGCAGAGTTGGCTTTAAAGCAGCTTTGCGCCTCATAGACCCAATTTGATAAAGGAAAAGTCGGTCGGGAAACTGTACTTTGGCTGCATTTTGCAGTGCATGCGAAAATGTTTCGCACAGTCAAAAAGTTCGCCATGCCGGAAAAAAGTTTTTAATCTGCCGCATGCAAAACTTTAATCGAAAAGTGCGGCATATCAAACGAAACTAAGTCAAACTTTTCAAATTGATATATCAAAATTCAATTCGTTGTTGCTGTTGTAGTCGTCTTGTGAAAACATTTTGACTGTCACATGCCAATTGCGGTATGTACATACATTCTCGTATATTCTCGTACAAATAAACACACATACGCTCTATCCTATGGTATATGTACAAGTATAAACGTGTATATAGTTCGAGTGTCTATTTGAAATTCATGCAAGAATTTAAGCTGCAAACTTTTCCTGCACAGAACAGCTGCATGTGTGACACATGGGAATTTGAAAGTTGTAGGTGGTGTGCTTGTCTGTGTGTGTGTGTGTGTTTGATTCGAAGCTGTTGAGTTTTTGTTGCTGGCGCGCCTAAAAGTATGCAGTGGCATACAAACAAATGCACTTCGGAATATACTTGAAAAGTTGCAAAACCATTCGCGTGTTGATTTTGAGGACTTCAAGTGGATTCTAGCACTTGACATGGCTTTTGTGGCACAGTCTAAGGTTTGCCGCAAGTCCTGGCCAAATGGGAGAACATATTTGCAGTTTCTTGTATTCTGCAGTTCCTGTTGTTTTTTTTTTTTTTTTTTTAGTTTGATTGATTTGTTCAAATTTCTGTAAGCAACCCTTAATTAAGAACGTCTTATGTAAGTACGAGTAAGTGCCATTAATTGCAACATAGTGCCCACAAAGCAGCAGCAAAGCGTTCAATAAATATTTAAGAAAGTAGACCGATTCCAATCAACATTGTAACAATTCATGAGATTCATTCATAACAATTTCATAAACTTCAGCATTGACTAGTGGGTAGTGCCTTTTTATGCCTCCTAGGAGAGCAAATCATTTCTAGTTCTTAATTACAGATTTATATGCACATCGCTGTGTCGACGATCAGCATAGCTTGCCTAATATATCAAGTATATACTTGTATGTATGCTAACATAACAAATCAACTGTGTTAGAAAATATCGTTTTGATAGATTGATGGTGATCGATACATAAGTATTAGTTAAGATCATTAGGGAACTTTAACACGATAGTAACAAAACAAATATAACAAATATATTTAGATATGAATGAACGAGTATGTAGTTAGAATCGATTGCTGCTCGTATATATTTAATTGCTTAATGTCTATATCGATTCGACTCGTCACAATGATCATATATTGAT